TTTTAAGATCACCATTTTAGCGTATCGGCATATGATATGTATATTTGAATTTATAGTTTCAGTCTCATTGTCACGATGGTGTAAAAGTTATCAATTGAAAAAAAACTGTTATCAAAACTGAGAGCAATACTACATGCACTTTAGAAAGGAGTTGTTGAGAGGATGACGTTGGCTCAATTTGAATGATTTCTACTTCGGCCATTTTGAATATTGACAGCAATAAATGCGAAGAGAAATCGGGATTCCTTGAGTTTATCCTGTCGCTGATCAGCTCTAGCAACTCTACACATTCTTCCTGCAAAAAATATGAGAATTGATTGATTATACAGTGAGTTAGGAAGGTCAATATGGAAAAATCAGAAACCAGAAGATATACAAAGTCGGTTAAATTAGTAAAAAGTTGAAGTGACGTTTTGAAGAGTTCGATTATGTGTGACACATGTGATACACATGCGATACATTTGTGTGGCTTTTTAAAAATAACTCCTTAAATATCGTCAAAAAATAATTATGTAAATCGAAATTGGTGAATTTCGAATGTTTTAGAATATATTCGGAACTGATTTCCAAAATTCTATCAAATATCAAACGTGATAGCACAAAGATTTTATATTTTCAGTGTTTATTCAATAGACAATCAGTACTAAATATACGAGGTATAATAATAACAATAAATTGTTTATATTTTTAACTTGGCGGAGTTCAGTTCACGCTATTCTACCACTCAACTAAGATTATTTTTATAGATAAATGTATGTGATACAATATCACAACTGAAAACTAGGACCTTATCTAGGTTTTTGCATTATATAACAGAAGTACATGTAGGTATGTTGTAAAGAGGTAAGTTGTAAAAAAATGTAAAAAATATGTTGAAGTAATTTGATTCAAAATAATATGGTCAGATTCATTGTTTTCCAAAGAGGATGGCTTTAGTTTAGACGCGGAAAAGATAGCAATTTTAATTCGTCAGGATAAAAGTTATATTCGGTTACAGCGCTATAGACAATATCACCGTAGTTTAAATTTGATGAAATAGGTGTATCATATAGTTGAATCTTCAGATGTTTAGTCATGTGATGTCTGTCAGGGTATAGATGTATACCATATGCTTTCGTAATTAGAGAGTTAATATGGCTAATAAATCTCAATTTGGTGGTGAAACATAGAAGGTTTCATTTCTCATTTTTCATAGCAATTTATTATCGACCCTGAGCATTTTATTTCCTCGTTTGATTCCAATTTGAGATTATTGATAGATTATGACTCTATTCAGGTCTCTCTTATTACCAAAAATCATGGCTAATGATTTATTTGGGTTGATATTCAAACAGTGATTTCTTGATATTTTCAATTAGTCATCCACATGATTATTGGAAAAATGTTCAGCGATTAAAAATCAGATAGGTGTCATCAGCATAGCTATGCATTCAAAAATTCATCAGAGGTATAAATGAATAGGAGAGGTGCAAGTATAGAGCCCTGAGGTGCACCGTTTAGTTCTGATGATGTGTTATTATTGGTAATAACACGCTGTGTTCGATTACTGAGAAAAGATTTGAAAAAAATTGAACGTGACACCATAATTTTGTCTGAAGCTACGTGATAGATAAATACGGTTTTTATAAACAAAAGGTATACGTTTCTCCATAAACTACCTTTTCGTTCACCTCAGAGAGTGACGGTGAAATATTAATTGGTCTTAAGTCACTGAATGTTTCCGGTTTGGATATTACATTAATATTACTGGAGTTTTTTTTGAACACAAAACCATTATTTCAACACTTCGACACGTGTTTCGATCACCAAGTGATCATCTTCCAGAGAAAGATCAAACTTTATTCACTAAAAATGAAAGTTATAATGAGTGTGAGTAATACAACAGAAACATGTTAAGGAATATGCCGTCACTTTCTACCACATTTATTTTTCGTATTTTCGTAGATTTGGATCTAGATATTGGGTGAATATTGGATATTCCAAAAACTGATAATGAATATTTCAGTTTCGACAGATATGAGAAGAAAGAACCTATGGATGTATCTTTCATTTTGGTGAATTTTCTCAATGATATTCTAAACTTCTCAGGAGGTTTGTATATATTAGCTTCAAATACGGAAAAACATAATTTACAGAACGAAAACGACACCAGTTCATTCTTTTCAAACGACGGCTCAGCTTTCGAAAAAAGCATTTGTGATCCAATATCAGATAGCGTTGCCTCAAACTATCACATATCTTATCAGTGGTACCAGACGAAGGCCTTGATGGACTCAACTTTTGAGTGAGGGGAGTCTCACTCAAAAGTTACTTATCGCAGATAATTTTCAGTTTCTTAGAAAGTATCCCTTGCCATGTTGAGGTTTGATCGCCAAATGAGAGGTCGTTTTCTGTTTTTCTTTGCAGTTTTCATTGCAAGGTTACTGCTCGGAACCAAAGCGCAAAAAAGTCGGATCTCCGGGTGCGGGCTGATTCGAGGGCATCATCCTGCGGAAGTTATTCTAAAAACACTATTTCTGACAGTCAACAGGGTTTTCCCAACATCAGTCCACAGGGAAATAGCATGGTAACTGCAGTTGCTAAGAGGCCCACTAGCGGCTTCGAATTTGATTTCAGAGGACTCAACTCAAATATGAACTTAGTGCACCAACATCTGCAAACAAATAGTCCTCATATTCTTACACTCACAAAAAAGTCAGTGCTTCAACAAACCCCGCTAATTTTATATATCGTGGCTTTAATTTCCAGTCCCGATTCAGATGTAACTTTGGAATATTTTTTTTATCAGAAGCGGTCTCTCCTGTCAACGAGAGGAAAAGATGGAACCCCAAAACTTTGATGTCATGTGGTTCAGAATTGTAAAAAAATATCGAAATGATTCTCCAGTCATTATATTTTCTACTTTTTGTATACAGGTACATTACTCTTTTCTACTTTATCAACATATCTCAAAATACCATATATAGGGAATTTAATCACCAGATGGTCATTCAACTACAAAAATAATATCACAGAAAATCACTAAATTCAGGATTCCTTACCGTGATGGAGAATATGCTGGTCTACTAAATCTATATCTAACTACCAATCAAGAAATTCACACAGTCACCGTAAGGTCTCCATTGGGATATTCTGATCACACACTCATTTCAGTATTGGGTGAATTACCGATAAATGTTGGGGAACAATATGAGCCGCGCAAAGTTTGGCATTACAGATCTGCTGAGTGGGACAATTTTCGAATCCATTTCCAAAATTTTCTCTGGCTAGATGTTTGTTTCAGCTCTGAAGATCCATCGATTTGTGCTTCTGAAGTGACGGAACTCATTCTATCATTCACGGTTGCATATATTTCTTTTTCAATGAAACGAACTTCTAACGAAAACCTTGGTTCAACAAAAATTGCGAGCAAGCTGGCGCCTCCAAAAATCTCGCCTTTGGCCGTGTGTGGCATGAGGGTTTGCTGGTCAAACTTCGATGCTATTGCTTGTCGGATCATTTTTGTGTATGGCTTTCCAGCTTCCTGAAAAAATGTTCCTTGCACGTGGCCGTCGACGGATATCTTTTGAATACTTTCACCATAAAAGCTGGTGTTTCCAGGGATTCATATTGTCTCCAACCCCCTTTCTATTGTATATCAACGACTCATTGAAAAAAATCAAGAATCCAATATATTGATTTGCTGACAACACACTTCGAATTGGGGTAATCAGTTTCAGTAATCAGTGCCACAAAAACCCAGGCATTGGTTTTCTCCAAAAAAACTAAATGTCTTCGAACCGGATATAATAATGTCAGGTCAGAAAATTCAACCTTCTGCTTCGATAAGTTTTGGGGGGTTAAAATGGACACCAATATGTCTTGGCACAATCATGTCGCTGGAATTGCAAAAGCCGCTTTTCAAAAGCTTGGAACACTGTTTCGAATCAGGAAACTGAACAGCATCTTCTGATGCTCTTTTCTATAGATACATTCACGGGAAGTGTTCAACTGACTTGGCGCATTTGATTCCACCAAGAGCGGTACATGACAGAAATACGCGACGGACTGTGGCTGCTCATCGTTATGAGGTTCAGCTCAGTGTATGTGGTATAAACTTTTTGAGAACGTTTTTTCAAATGAATTTAATCTTCACCAATTCAAATCCAATCTGAATCACTACTTTCGCATAGGCACTGCTCTAGGAGCGCCTCAAGGATTTTTCTGTAGTGCTTGTGTTTTTTCCTTAAAAAATACCACCTTCATGCCTAGTTTTTTGAAAATCTTTTCAAAGTACTTCGTGTATTGCTGGTATGGAAGTGAGATATATTTATCTTGGTTTTCGTCGTTTCTAAAAGTCAAGATTTCGTTAATTCCTAACCTAAATTTTTCCTTGCTTATAATATCATTATCATATCATAAAGGTTTGGTATTGGGATAAAACTCCAGTAATATTCAAATGATTTACAGATCGAGTCCCAACTGGTGTTGGGAAAGTGTTTTCGAAAGATTTATTTGAGTAGACTTTGTAACAATAGTATTGTTATATTCATCAACATTCATCAAAAACCCCAATTTATAAATTTTTGTCAGAACTATCTTAATATTTTCATTCGAGGTTAATTTGATTTGAAAGAAATGGAAACGAGAAGATACATTTCTGAAACCCCGGCTTTCTAATAGATCTAAGTATGAAAATTTTATTCTGTTCCAATTTTTATAATAGACAGAAACTTAAAAATTCAAGGTACTAATTGGATATTTTGAGTAAACTTACAGCTAAAAAAACTAATTCTTTAATACAGCAAGAATAAAGTTCTCCTTTATCATAGTATCAAAGTACAAATTGTAGATAAGCTATTAGTGTAACATATACTATTATTGAGGTATTCAATACCTTTTATAGTATATTTAATAATTTCCAATTGCAAAGTTATTAAGTGATTGTGGAACCATATTTCCAGTTTGCCACTTACAGTACATATTTTCGATTGATCTTGTTTCATTAATTTTTCATGTTTTCATGTGAAAACTGATAACTAGAATTGAAAATGCTAAAATATGAAGGAACTTGAATCAATGAGCTTAAAAATGCACCTACAACGATTTATTTGACATATGTATCAAAATATAGGAAAGTGATGATTTTTAAATAGAATGGCATATATACTAACTCCGTTGACAGCCTCCTCTTCAATGAAATTCTGCAAGACTCTGACAATATCTTGTACAACAATCACCGTATGATTTTTATTGAGTTCCCTTTCATCCACCTCACTGTAACCCAGAAAGAGGTAAATGCCCTGGGGTAGTGCATAATCGCTTGGCATTGGTTTCATACAGATGAATCTTCCGGAGTAACACAAACATCTGCCTCTGAAAGCTTGATAGGCCGGTGCAGCATGATTATAGTAGGCAAATTCCGTTTTACAGGGCATACGATCTATACATATCGTCCTACATGTCAATTTTTCTCCTATTTCGCACTCGCACACATCGGAGCATTCGAATTCATCCTCATGATATATCTAAAAAAAAGAATGGTGGAAATTATATAACTCAAGCATTATGTTTGAACCGATAGAAACCCATTTCAGAATTTGTATCATCGGTCCAGATTTGCATTTTCCTTAGTTGAATGTGGAGTGGAAATGCTACTATCAACTGCAACAAGTGGGATGGAGAAAAACATGAGTACGTGAACATGAGTAGGCATATAACATCCATTCCAACAAACAAGGTTCTAACATCAACCATCTTCTCAGTATTTACACGAATAAAGACTAATTACAACTCTACCTTCATAAAACCCGTCCCTAACTTCAATTATTAAAACAAGACATATTCAACTAACTCTTCGTGAATTTGGTATATGAGGTGTCAGAAGTTTGGGATTATTTTATTATAAAATGTAAAACTTTGAGGAAACATATTTGATGATGACTTCCTGGAACTGTATTGTTTCGAGATTGTATTATTGGGTAAAGTTGATTTACTTTTTCGTAAGTGGAACTGAAAATTTCACATTCATATCTAAATGTT